AACACTCAGTTTGTTTCCTGAGATTAAGAATTCCTCATATCAGTGAGGTCATGTGATACATGTCTTTCTCTGATTGACTTATTTCACTCAGCATAACACCCTCCAGTTCCATCCACGTCGTTGCAAATGGCAAGATCTCATTCCTTTTGATGGCTGCATAATATTCCATTGTGTATATATACCACATCTTCTTTATCCATTCATCTGTCGATGGGCATCTTGGCTCTTTCCACAGTTTGGCTATGGTGGACATTGCTGCTATAAACATTGGGGTACACGTACCCCTTCGGGTCCCTACATTTGTATCTTTGTGGTAAATACCCAGTAGTGCAATTGCTGGATCGTATGGTAGCTCTAATTTCAACTGTTTGAGGAACCTCCATACTGTTTTCCAGAGGGGCTGCACCAGCTTGCATTCCCACCAACAGTGTGGGAGGGTTCCCCTTTCTCCACATCCCCGCCAACATCTGTCATTCCCTGACCTGTTAATTTTAGCCATTCTGATGGGTGTGAGGTGGTATCTCATTGAGGTTTTGATTTGGATTTCCCTGATGCCCAGCGATGTTGAGCACTTTTTCATGTGCCTGTTGGCCATTTGGATGTCTTCTTTGGAGAAATGTCTGTTCATGTCTTCTGCCCATTTCTTGATTGGATTATTTGTTCTTTGGGTGTTGAGTTTGATAAGTTAAGAAATTATTTTAAAAGAAAAAAATACATCCAAAAACATTATTCATCTGGAAGAGTCCCTTTGAAAGTAGACTGGCTTCAGATGACATTATTTAATTTCATGGGAATTAAACTGAAGAGGAGAAAATAAACCCATTCTGTTTATTTTATTTTTGACATTCAGTTGAATGAAATGAGGCTCTGATTAACAATAAGCAATCAAAATCCATGAGTCAGGGATGGAACTAAGTAACACATTTTTTGAAAAGCTACTAACTGTAGGATGTCTGAAAATTACATGAGGATTGCAGGATCAGAACAGCCAGTCTTTCAGCTGATGATCCCGATTCTTGGAGGAGCCATTCTTTCTATTTATCCTGAGTTCTATGGGTGTAGTGACACTCCAGTCTCTTCCTAAAAGAACAGACAGCATCAGCCGGTTGAGGAATAAAGTCATGGTCTGTGTGTTTCTGCCCCATCACCTAACAAACTATCTATAACCCGGTGTTTTACTCCCTTAACCCCTTTTTACTGAGCCTCAGTATGCCGAGGCACGGTTCTAAGCCTAGACGTCTATTAAATCATTTGAACTCCGTAATAGACCTATTAGGTGGATAACTTTCTAATTTCAGTTTTCAGACAAGGAAACCTAGACCAAGGGGGACTGAGACATTTGCTGGGAACTTGAAAAAGCCACAGGTGGAGACAGGGGTGGGAAGCGGCAGATAAGCAGAGGTAAGGCGTGGGAGCCAGAGGCTGGCCCTTACGGGGGACTCTTCAAGAACAGCAGACGGCCCAGCTGGGATGGACAGGGGCAGCAGGACGTGTGGCCACGGTGTCCGGGAGCTCCCCTGGGAGGGCTGCTGTGACTCCCTCCTCCCTGTCAGCCATAGTCTCTGGGTTTTATTTCTACCTATCCAGTCAGCTTGACAGAGTCTTCCTTAGCTAATTTCTCAGGAAAGAATTTTTCCATCTTGACTGTCTCTCTTACCTCAGCTCCTCATTTTAGTTGCAATAATCAACTAAATTGTTAGAGGTGAAACAGATGGACTTTGAGGTGGCTGCAGTTGTGTTTCCATATTAAAGTGGTCTGAAGTGTCATTTCCTGCCATAGGTGAGATATTTGAGGGCAATATGAGCATCAATTGAGTGACTAGAGTGAGCTGGAGAGTTTCTAGTGCATGGAGATTTTGCAATTATGAAGGATTGCTTTATTAAAGGCATTTTAATTCCTAGTCTCTTTTTTTCTATTAAAAACTGTCCAAAACAGTATTTTTTTTTATTTTGCAAGTTTGCATGGACTGTCATTCTGATATTGTTTAGGATTAGTGTACTGTGTAATAAAATACTTGAAATAGCACCTCTTAGAGATCCGAGGCCCATCCCACATCTTCTCTCCTTCTCTGCGAAGCAGAAAAGGACACCCAATGAAAACGACCCTGGGGGGGTCAAGGCACTTACTCTGGCCACAACAAATGTCACAGTAAAACCATTCACTGAGCCTAGGAATTCTGACTTCAGGCCAGTAAAACACTAATGTGTTCTAAAATTCTAAATGTCTAATGTCTTCTAAAATTCAGTGCAACAATTTGCCCTTTAGAACTCTTGAGCAATTTCAAAATCATACAGAGCCAATCAGTTGATAGAAATTAAAAAATGTATTGTTTAAAGAATCCTCATATACATACACACACGCACTTGCTCATAAGCTGCGGGGACACTTCCTCAACACCCAGCACAACACTGGCCACGCAGTTGGCATTCAAAATATCAATGCCTGAATGAATACATGAGTAGGGGCTCAAAGTTTTAGAAGCTCAAAGTTTTAGTTGCTTAAATATTACATTTTTTTACCCAAAATGCAAGTTTGTGGGATGACAAATTACAGAACACACTAAGGAATACATATGAAAAGAATTCACTAGAATATATAGAATTGTGTTTCTTTCATCAACTTGTCAAAATATGTACCCAGCTTATTCCCCAAATAAGGTTAAAACCAAAATGAAATACTGTGTTCAGTCCAGACCAGACAGATTTACTCCTGAGTCTCCAAAAATATTTTCAAAAACAGGGAAAGGGAAAAGCCAAAAGCAAAAGTAGTTCAATCTATTTTCACCCTAAATGTTAACCAGGTCTTTGGTTTGGTTTGGAGAAGCTTTCAGGAGGCCAGCATTATAAACAGTATGTGAACCACGGAGCCATATACTTATCCATTCAACAGACCTTATCAAGCAGCCACCATGTGCACAGCAGTGTCCTAGGCACTTGAACACATCAGCAAACATTGGGAAATCCTTGCTTGTGGAGTTCCTATCCTCCCAGGGTGAGATACAATATGTGAGAATTTATATGAAATATTAGGAAGGCGAAAAATGCAATGGAATAATGAAAAGTGTAGACATTTAATAGAGACCTGAGTACAATTTTAGGAGGGTGGTCAGGGTACGCTTCATTGAGAAGGTAGTGTTTAAGCAAACCCTTGACAGAAGGAAGGGAATCAGACACACAGCTAGGCTGACTCATGAAAGGGCATAATACATTAAGGAAGCACATGGAGAGAACCGCTTTGTACTGTGAAATCATCTCTTCAGGAGAATTTTAGACCTTACCCCATTAACAACCCAGAAGAGGGGATATCTGCTTCCACCAAAAGTTGATGTATAGTCAGTGATCCCCAAATATCACGCAGTGAATTGATTTCATTATTTTCCCTAAGGGACCTTTTTAGAAAGACTTTTGGTACCTACACTGTGAAATTCAGAAGTCTGGACATCAGTCCTGGAATCTGTTTTTTTTTTTTTTTAAGCACCACAGGTTGCAGATACAGAACAAGTTTGGGAGGTGACTGGACCCAGTGACTTCTGAAGGCTCCTTCATGTTGCATGGATCTTCTTCCTTAAAACTCAATGGCTTCACACAAGTAAAGTTTACTTCTTGCTGTTATCACATCCATGAAGTATGAGCACAGGGGTTCCATGCAGTCAGGGACAGGCATTCCTTCTATAAAATGTTATACCAACTTATAGGACCTCATCCTCCTTAGCATTCCCCTGGTGAGTGGGGAAAGGGGGCCCCTGGAGAAAGCACATCCACATATACTGGCCTTGACCTGGATATTTCACATCTCATTTTGTCTCACAAAGTCATGTGGCCCCACTTAGATGCAACATCTGGAAAATATTTGTGGACCTAGAAAGAGAACATGGATGCTGGTAAGTACACAGGGAGAGTTGTAAGGAGGGTCTCCTCCCAGTGTTTGAGAGCTGATTGATAATCATCACCATCATCACTGTCATCATCATCATTTGCTAATACTTACTGAGCATCATCATGCTGAGGCACTGTTTTAAGCCTAAAGTTCTGTTAATTCATTTGAACTGCACAATAGCCCTATGAAGTAGATACCTTTCTAATTTCAATTTCCAAATTAGGAAACAAGACCAAGAGGCACAGAGACATGGCCAGAGGTGGTGGAGCTGGAGGATGAAGCCAGACAGTGTTCACAATGTCATCCCACAAAGTGATCTCTGGCTTTTCCATGGGTTGTCTCTAAAAACTCCCAATAATATGCATTCAACTTAACTTCCTGTTCATTGACCACCACTAGAAAATAATATTTGCATTAACTTAGGAGATGGAAAAAAAAAACAGGTAATATGTAGGAAATAAACAGGAAGGTTAGAAAGAACACACAGAAATATAGAAAAGAGCATGCAATCAAAACCTGATGTATTAAAGATTATTAAGATAGGCCACTGGCAAACTGATCCAGTGTAAAAATTAAAAGATGCAAAATTTTACAAAGTGTGGAACAGTGAAGGGGACATGATCACGGATACAACAGAGATTTAAAACAATAATAATAACATAGAATAGTGTCAGTGTCAGTACTTATGCAGTAATAAACTTGAAAACCTAGTTATGCAATAAAAACTTAAAAACTTAATTCAAATTTTTACATCCCTAGAAATATATGAAATGCCAATTGGCACAAGAAAAATAGGTATCTTGTATAAATCCATAAATTTTAAGCAAACTGGCCTCTCTTTTAAAAAAAATGAGCACAACAAACCAAAATAGGCTTAGCTTTCTTTCTAAGTGTTCTCCACCACACCTGGAAACAGTTGTTACAGAACAAATAGAAAGCTCTACACATGCATATATTCACTCCAAAACTAAAGAGACCAATGTAAGTTATAAAATGTATAGTCTCATTCACTCATGAATGTAGATACAAAGATCCCTAAATAAAATAATGGCTAACCAAATCCAATAGTATATTAATGAAAATAAAAAATCATTAGCAGGGGGATGGGTTAGGCCGGTGATGGGTATTAAAGAGGGCACGTTCTACATGGAGCACTGGGTGTTATACGCAAACAATGAATCATGGATCACTACATCAAAAACTAATGATGTAATGTATGGTGATTAACATAATAAAAAATTTAAGAATTATGTGTATACATACATGTGTGCATATATATTTTATATAAGTATGTATACAAAAAAAATCATTAGCAGGGAGAATTGATCCTACAAATGCAAAAATGGTTCACTATTTTAAAAGTTACTAACATAACATCAATAGACTAAAAGAGAAAAAAAATCAAATGAGCACCCCAATCAAGAAAAGCATAATTATTGGGGCGCCTGGGTGGCTCAGTTGGTTACGCGACTGCCTTCGGCTCAGGTCATGATCCTGGAGTCCCGGGATCGAGTCCCACGTCAGGCTCCCTGCTCAACAGGGAGTCTGCTTCTCCCTCGGACCCTCCCCCCTCTCATGTGCTCTCTCTCTCTCATTCTCGCTCTCTCAAATAAATAAATAAAATCTTAAAAAAAAATCTTTAAAAAAAAAAGAAAAGCATAATTATAACTAGGTGTTAAAACTTATCAAATAAAAATCTAACAAAAATATAAGACTAGAAAGGAAAAGTCTACAAGCATTCAATTTCAGATCAGGAAAAAAAACCCCACTGTCATCTCTACAGTTGAACATATTTCCTGATAAGGAAGAAAAATAAATACAAAAATGGGGGAAGGAAGGGATATCATTGTAATTATTTCAAGAAGCCATGAACATCTACCCACAGAAGCCAACATAATCAGCAATCTATTAGAACAAATCTATTAGAACAAGAATGTTCAGGAAGGTGGAAAAAATAGGGTAAATCTAAAAAATTATGTAATTCATCTCCAAAAAAAACGTTAAAAACAAGTACCATTCATAAACCACAATTTTATAGAGCATCTAAGAAATATCTCAACCAGTAAGGCATTCAAAAAGACCTAGTAATAATAACCATAAGTTATTGGTGCAATCAAAGGCAAAAGAAGACCAAGAAAAGAAAACAGAGAGGTTATATGTGGGAACTTATGTGACAGAAATGGTCCCAGGAACCCTGGAGAAACATTGTTCAGTAGGATTGTTGGTAACCCGTTCAATATATGGTGAAAAATAAAACTGGATCCATACTTCACCTCATACATGGACTAGAGACTCCAATGTGGCAGGTGAAACTAGCAAGTTACAAGAACAATGGTGAGAAGTACTCTTTGATCTAGAGATGGGAAAAGCTGCTTGAACAAAGCTGCAGCATCGCCTGTTTGTCTTTTCCTCTACATAGTAGACAATTTCCTTGATTTCATTTAGTCATTCAACTGGAATTTTTATTTTAACAATTCACATTTTAGAAGAAAATAGAGTTAAAGGTAGACTGTGAAACTAGTTACGACAGAAAGACTACAACTCTGTGCCTCAGTTTTGTAATCTTTAATAAGTGAGGAGAGAAACTGTACCTACTTCTGATGATTGTCATGGGAATTAAATGAGGATGGATGGACGGATGGATGGGGGGATGGGTGGAGACAGACAGACAGACATGTGCCTGAAACAATGTCCAGCACATAGTAAGCATTATGAAAATACTATTATGTATTATTATTTTATATCCTAAAAGTGATTTACTACTCTGAGTATTTCCATTGCAAGACTTTGGTTTGGTTTTATGGATATAATATGTCTAGGATGATTTGAAGGGACTAATGAATGTCACTCTTTTTTCCTTACCCACATTCTAAACCATCTAGGAGAAAACACCAGGGGAAATTATTGATATGAAGATAGTGTTTTTACCGTTAAGTCGACATTGAAGACCATGGTTTCAGTCATCTTGCCAGGTGGGTCTTAATTCCTAGCCTCAGAATTAGCCAGATTCACCTAGCTCCCATCATTGGCAGGGCTGGGCCACACAGAGCTCCCCTGGAAAAGACAGAACCTGTGCCCTGAGCTTGGCCCATGACTAAGAGAGGAGAGGACACAGGTCTTCAAGCATTCTAATCTGAAAGAAGGGGGTGGGCCATACCTGCTCCACAGGGCCCTCAACCTCCTCAACCTGAGGAGCTGCTCCTCTGCCCCTGGCTGGCTTAACATAGCTCACATTTGTTTTTCACTCATTCTTAGAATGTCCAGTGCAAGTCCAGGTAACCATCCAGTGTAACTCTCTTCTGCAGAGCCTCTGCCATCCTGTAATTGCCCCACCTGGAGCATGCAACTTCCACGGTAGACTTAGCAAAAGAGGGCACTAGAGGGCCTTGCACCCAACTAAGTGCCTCAGCTCAGAAATGACACACATTAATTCCACCTAAGTCCACTGTCAAGAACAAGATATGTGGCCTGTAGTGGGCTGAATATTATCCCTTCAAAATTAATGTCTCCAGGAACCTGTGAATTTGATCTTATTTGGAAAAAAAAAAGCCTTGGTCTATTTACAATTTTTTAAACATTTATTTATTTATTTGAGAGAGAGGGGGAGAGAGGGAGAGGGGGATAGAGACTGTGAGCAGCAGGGAGGAGCAGAGGGAGAGAGAGAATCCCAAGCAGACTCCCCACTGAGCGTGGAGCCCTACTCCGGACTTGATCTCACAACTTGAGATCATGACTTGATCTCACAACTTGAGATCATGACTTGAGCCGAAATCAAGAGTCAGATGCTCAGTGAGGCTGAATCACCCAGGTGCCGCCCCTCCCCCCGGTCCATTTATGATTTTGGTTAAAGTGAACAAGGTTAGCAAACCCTTAGCTTGACTTTGCTTGGCTCATAGGGTGTTTACATTTTCAACTTTTTGAGGAATCTCTGTATTCTTTTTCATGGCAGCTGCATAATTTGACGTTTCCACAAGCAGTGTACAATTTCTCTACATCCTTGACAATTTTTACCTTCTTTTTGATAACATCTATCCTAACAGGTATGCTGTGACATTTTGTTGTAGTTTTGATTTGCATTTCCCTCATGATGAGTGATGTTGAGCATCTTTTCGTTCACACAGCTGTTCTGCTGTGTGTCTTCTTTGGCTATCTATTCAGGTCCTTTACCCATTTTCAAAATTAGATTTTGTTTTTGTTTTTGTTTTTGTCTCACTATTGAATTGTAGGAGTTCCTTGTATATTTTGGAAATCAATCCCTTATAAGGTATACAGGTTGTAAATATTTTCTCCCATTCTGTAGATTGCCTTTTTACTTTGTTGTTTCCTTTGCTGTTCAGAAGCTTTTTAGATTAACACAGTTCCACTTGTCTAATTTTTCTTTTATTGCTTCTGCTTTTGGTGTCATACTCCAGAAGTCATTGCCAAGCCCACTGTCATGAAACTTTTCCCCTGTGTTTTCTCCTCGGCATTTTTAGTTTCAGGTCTTCCATTTATATCTTTAACCATTTTGAAGTGGGGTTTTGGGGTTTTGTGTTTTTGTTTTTGTTTTTGTTTTTTTTTGTACAGAGTAAAATAAGGATCCAATTTCATTCTTTCACATTAGATATCTAGTTTTCCCAACACCATTTTTTGAACAGACTGTTCTTTCCCCATTATGTATTCTTGGCACCCTGGTTGAAAAGCAGTTGACCGTATATGCATCATTTATTTCTGGACTCTCTATTCTGTTCCACTGGTCTTCTGGGCATATACCCAACAGAACTGAAATCTGAATCTCAAAGAGATATCTGTGCTCCCATGGTCTTTGCAGCATTACTCACAATAGGCAAGATATGGAAACAACCCAAATGTCCCAAATTAACAGATGAATGGATAAAGAAAATGTGGTCTATACATACAAGGGGATATTATTCAGCCTTTAAAAGGGAAATCCCATCATTTGCAACAACATGGATGAACCTGAAAGACATCATGCTAAGTG